AATTATTTTATATAAATAATAAAATATTGAAAATTTAGATATTTAATATTTAAAATATTAAATGTTTAATTTGTTTAATGAATGTTATATATTAATCTAATATGTGTTAATCTTTCACATTATATTTTAAAGATATTTCTGCAAGCATTCTACAAGCATTGTATATAATATTTAGAGAGAATTTTCGTCCGCCCACGTGTACATATATTTAGATTTGGAGTTTTATTCTTCTCACAACGGGTATCGACTCATTCCGGGATACCCAGATCATCCTGTCATGGTCATCCCATCTCCCCTCCTTGCTCGCCAGTCGTCGTCTTTTTCGGGGGCTCCTAACGTGTGGTATTTATGACGATACACGTTGCGAAATCGTGATTTTCATGAGGATAATGAATATTATCATGATTGATATTCCTTATCGATTTAATAATTTGAAAATTTTTCGAGAAATGTTTCCATTTGAAATCGATAGACGAGTCGAAATTTATCTGACATCTCTCTCGCATAGATATAAAGTAATCCTAGACACGCGGAATTAATTAAGTAAACTTTTTTACTTTCTTTTATTTGCTTAAATGCTTTGACTAATTTAGTATCCATCCTCTTGATTCAAGTTGAATGAATAAAGTTAGATTTTAATATCGCGCAAAGTTTTGTAATTTGCGCATATAATTTAATTATGTATATATAAAACGTCAAATGTAATGTTCATTGACATCACTTTCGGAATTATCGTAGAGAAATTAACACATGAATCAGTTAATTTATTGTTAGTCATCATTTTCAAACAGCATATATATATACGTGAGTCAATGTCACATGATTACTTTTTTATTTTTTTTCCGATTATTATTGAAATTGCATTATTTATCGTATATAGACAGTTATTATATATTATTATTATATATTGCTTCTGAAATTATTTCTTATTCGCAATACAATGTGTCACCACGCTACGCTGACGGCGAAAAGAGAGAAAGAAGCAACGATTCGCACAAAACATTTTGCGATAATTTACAAAAGTGCATTTTTGGGAAACAGCCAAATGCGAGCGAACATAGGACATAAAAGTAGGAGGCGCCGCGTTTGGCGCACGCGGTGATATCCGTCGCCGAGAGGTGAAACGATCTTTCTTTCCACAAGAATGTCGACGTAGGAATAATTTTGATCTTGCTGATTGATGAAAAAAGAAAGTGTTTCTTGATGAAGTATGCTTCAGAAATTCGCATAGATAACGAGCGCGTCTTTTGATTAGTTACAAGTGGACTCTTTACTTTAACAGAACAACTCTTTCTCTCTCTCTCTCTCTCTCTCTCTTAAGTTTCACGCTTAGAATTATTAGGTTTAGTAATACAAATTTTTTAAAATAGAGAAAAGATTAATATATATATTTTTTATTTTTAGCATATATATACAAAATATTTCGTGAAATGGACATCCCGTAGAAAAATATGCATTCGGGATACGTGGGTAACTTCGATGCGTGTTCAGATGAGAGTGTCAGAGGAATAAAATTGGCAAGGATGGGTGATGGAGGAGTCAATGTAATATGTTGCCCAGCATAGGATACCGAAGGACAGTGGCGATCCGCGCATCAAAATGGTAGGGGGGTACTGGCCAGATCACCGGAGGATGAGAATATAAGAGAAGAAGGGATATGAAACCAGCGCCAGTTATATTGACTTTCTTTTAAGCGACACGCGCGTTACACACTCCACGCGGGAGGATACATATTAAGTAAGTACACGCACTTGGTTTATTTAACGAGCGCGCGCGCGCGCATGAATGCAAGTACTCATATTTGCGCGTCACACTTGTCGCGTATCAAGTTGCACAATCATTGTGGTACTCGAATCCGTAATCGGTAACGTTTCGACAAGTTCGACATTGGATGCTGTGTAGATGCCGAGAAATATGTATACATATATATATATATATTTTGCGTCAACTGTTGCGATTTTAATTTCTGCGAGTGAAATGAAGATCATTCTCATGTGTTTGTAACATCAAAATTTAAATTATGCCGATATTAAACTGTGCTCAAATCTGCGGGAAATCTGTGATCTGCAGCGATTATGTCAATATGTTTTTTAATTGATTTACAAAGACGCTTCTATCTTCTCACAGAGTAATTCTCATTTCTTGCGTTGTCGAAGCAAGATGCGAATGTTTGAAAGCTATCGATATTTATTGAATAAAGGATTTTCATATGTTAGATAAATAAATCTCATAATTTTTTTTTTCTCTAACAACTGAAAGTGGTTTATCAATCGATGTCAAATCAAATTTAGCTCAACAAAAACTTTAATTTAATCTTCATATTTTTTGTCGATGATTATTAAATATCAAAAAATAAGAAAAGCTCGCCAATTATGACATACGTAGCAAAGGATCTGAAATTTATAAGTATTTGTAGTCTATAAATATCGATTTTATTTTTTCAAAAAGATGGATCAAATTATAAAAGTGGAATGAATATTAACTTGAAAAATTTGATTTGTATTTCAATGTATAATCAGAATCCATAATTCATGAAATATAATTCAAGATCTATAAAGCTCAGGCCTTTATTTCTGGAAGCTTGTTTAATATCGCAAGATTACAGCGACGAAAAATTGCCCGCCCGCGCAGTATTTGATCCGTGGGCCCTCAAAATTAATGTCGGAATGTAAAACATTAAAGATGTATAATGCTAAGTATCCGTCGCTTCCTTTCTCCGATCGCTTACGCGGTATTTGCCGAAGACGGAAGACGAGAGACCCTTCGTGTAAAAGAGATAAACTACAATTAAATATATGCTTACACGCGCGGTAATTCTTCAATTAACCAATAATATTTTGTCGACTATATTGCGTGCAATAATCGTATACTTGGCCATAAAAAGTTACACCGAGATTAATGTGTTTCATCAATAAAAATTAATAGCCGCTATATACGTGAGCGGCGGGGCAAAAATATCTTAAAAAAAAACCAATGCTGTTTCTTTTACGTGTAAAATCTGAAAAATAAAAAGAAAAGAAAAAAACTTGAAACTTTTTTGGACTTGCTAATTTTTATAAATTATCCTAACGAAAATTTTAAGAACGTAGCTGTTAATTAGGCTGTGGCCAAGTTGCTGAAAAGCTCTTTCAATTAAAGTTCATAGATAATTCGATAAACAACTGAACTGAATAAAATATCGATAAATATTTGCGTTTTTCAAACCTTGCGATTTATTTGCCGATTTGTTATTTACGATGGAAGGAATTGTTTATTTATCGCTTGTCTGTTCTTTCTTCTCTCGCGGCAAGAATAATTTAATATGGATGCAAAAAGAACGCGCCAGATTTATGAGAGAGTATCAAAAAGGCTCTTTCATAGATACACAAAACCCATTTCAAGGGTCCGTCCCCTTTTTCCTTTCTCCTCTCCATGCCTTTTATGCTTCCGTCCGCCTAAATTATTTCAAGATACTAATCTCCAAAAAATATACTAATGTCTAAAACCTAAAACCTGTTCGCAAACGATTATATCCTCATGTGATATATATAGGTTCTCTAATTTATAAATAAACTTTAAGCTGACCAATACATGCATCAACTAAACGAAATAAACGCGGGGTGGCTAATAACATCCTCGTTTGAGGCCTTGAATCCGGTCCGGGGAACTTGAATCATTTGTACTGCTAATTTTTTTGCATCATCTCCGTCATATTGTAATTTACCATTTTTTTTTTATTACGCGTCTGTGGGTCGATTGTTCTTGAATACGCAGGCAGGATTAGGTAATCTCCGATTAGATCGATTCGTAAAGATTCTCCTTCGTGCGCGTAAATGTGCTGTTCGTCGCCAAATAACGAAAAATCGCTCCGATACCTATATCTAAAATATTCACGATAGCAATCTATTCCTGTTTGGAAAGTGCTATTTATCTTGATCTACGTATGTCTCTCGCATCTTTTTCTTTACAGAAATTCGTAAAATGCATACACAACATTTCGCGAAATCTGGCCGAAATATCAATACAGTCGTCTTTAGTTTCCAATGTTTTTCGAATTTAAAATATTTTGTGGGTCCATGCAACTGTACGTGAGATGGACGATACAGACTTAAAAAAAATTTCGAGATTTTTGGAGATTAACGATAATTTAGAAATTTCATTAATTTGGTTAAAATTTTTTTATTTTTTGATGCTCCATTTGTAATTAGGTCTGAAAATTTTTGATAAAGAATCGACTCCAAGTTCAAAGAAGATTGCATATACTTTATGACCTAAAATAATTTATCGGATTCTATAAATAAAAATCTTGTAAAATGTTATCTTGTAAAAAACTGGATTCTCATCTGTAACTTTTAAACGATCATAGCAACAATATTGATTTATAAATTACACCGGATCTTGCGAGCCGCGCGTTAATTTTCCAATAAAAAAGAATGACGAATTAAAAAAATATAGCGGTAATTTTTCGGTGAATTTTAAAATAAGATCGTAAAAAAGATCACGGCACGATGACATGACCTTGTGAAGGTAATTAAACTACAATCTGGAAACGACATGTGGCAATCATAGATTTAATTAAATACACTGCGAACGTGTTATGACGTAATTATGCGATTTAAGTCGTATCAAAGCAAACCAACAACTAAGTACAAATAAAAGAGCAATCCACATGTTCGTCGAAGATTTTGCAATGTTAATTTTCAATCCTCATAATTGAATAAAATTGATAATTTTCTATGTCCGTAAAATAATGATGATAATCTTGATTAAAATATCAATTAAAATATCATGACTATTTATTATTTACTTTTCTCATCTGGTAAAATTAATAGTTATTTAAAGATTGTTGATGAATATCGCTTTTTTTCATGTCACAAGATTTATAACTGTTCATATCAGGGTCTGGATCGTAGATTTAAAAAATAAAGTATACAAAGTGAAAAATATTCTCTGTGCATACTTTTATATATATTTATTAAT